ATCAGAAAACTCTTGGTACCTGGTTAAAAAAGGACACTGAGGTCATGTGATCTTGTCTATTTGAATGTGTTAACAGGTTAGCAGACATGCATTATACCAGTTAGGGGAGTTAAATTATTTCAAGAATGTTGCCGTAAAGGATGGATTCAAGTCATTTTTTCAACACAGTCCTGGTGCCCATACGCACACTGAAGCAGTTTGCTTGTTCTAAAGGTCCAGTGTGAAGGATTTAGTGGCGTGTTGGGATGATGTTGCAGATTGCAACTAAATGAACGCCCAAAACCTTCTCCTCCTCTTTCCAGCTCGTAGGAGAATCTACTCTAAACAGTAAAACTGTGAAAAATGTGAAACTAAAAAGAAAAATGTAAAGATTGGTAAAGTGCTTCACATGTAAACTGTTTAAAAGCGTCAAAGGATGAGGTTGTAAGGTATTTACTTGAGTGTGTGAGAGAAACATGACTGGTGAAAAGAACTTTCTCTCCAAATGTAAACACACATTATGTTACACGATCACCTGAATCACACACAGGTCACAAGTTTGTTCACTGAGAGACGACGGATGTAGTTCAAATAAGAAGCAACATTTGTTTAATAACTGACTGAATAATTATTTGAAAGTTGGAAAAGAACTCAGAGAGCACAGACCTCCACCAAGCAGTTCATTTCCACCATATTGTGAATTCCAGCCAATGTGAAAGTCCTGCATTCATTTTATCTGCATATTAGGTATGTAATATGAAGTCAAGTATTTAGGTACACATTTGAGGAGTTAAAGTATTTTTCTTTCATGTTACTTTGTACTCTTGTCACGAGGATATAATTATTTGACAATAAATTCCTTTAAATCAGTTAACTGCTAACTCCTCCATATGGATAGTAGCTACTGACTGTCCTAGAAGTTGCTGGAAATTACTAAATGGCCATCGGCAACTGTGCATAATTGACCATTGCATGTAATTGTAGTGGACGCTGTGGGAGAGAGGAATACTGTAGTGGTAGAGATAAAAAGTGAGTAAA